TTTTTTTTTAATGCGTTTTGAGAATTTTTGTATGATGTTGTGGCTACTTCTCTCTTATGCATTAAATATTTTATGTATTATAAATATACAGTAACTTTAGAAAACTGAGTCTTTTTTGACTGAGATTCTGTGTGTCTCAGCAGAATGAATTCAGGTTTATTCTTAGAAAGGAAGAGGTGAAGGTGGGGTATAACATATCTTGTGTTTTGCTCCATGAACTCAGGATCAAAGCTTGAGCTGACAGTTGATGACCACCATCATGGTACCAACAAAGCCTAATTGGATTGGTTTGGCTTTGCCAACTCAAAACTAATCCCATAACCTTAAGATTGTTCAACTCCCATCATGGTTATGGGCCTGGTGTCTAAAAACTCGTGCAAATCTGTTTTAATCTTACTTTTAGGGCTGAATCAAAAACACAAAAAGGTTCCTTTGGTGTCTGAACCTGTCTCAGCAGAATGAATTCAGGTTTATTCTTAGAAAGGAAGAGGTGAAGGTGGGGTATAACATATCTTGTGTTTTGCTCCATGAACTCAGGATCAAAGCTTGAGCTGACAGTTGATGACCACCATCATGGTACCAACAAAGCCTAATTGGATTGGTTTGGCTTTGCCAACTCAAAACTAATCCCATAACCTTAAGATTGTTCAACTCCCATCATGGTTATGGGCCTGGTGTCTAAAAACTCGTGCAAATCTGTTTTAATCTTACTTTTAGGGCTGAATCAAAAACACAAAAAGGTTCCGTTGGTGTCTGAACCCCTGAATATTCAAAAAAAATAATATACAGTAGATGACTTAATAGCTCATGTTTAAGTTCATAGATCTGTTGTAGGGTTTGACACAGAAGCACATTGTTGTTCATTGATGTCATGAGCGGGCAGCAACGGAAAACACAAATGAGGAGAGATAAGATCAGGTTAACATTAAACAACAGACCAGGATGTCAATATCTTGTTGAATGATTCTTGAATACTGGCAGTTTTCATATAACTCTAATAGTATTTTCTGTCCACTTGATAAGACATCAGACCTCTCAGGTAATCATATAAAGAGTTTTCATCAGAAATGGACTGGCTGTAAGGTGCACTGGAACTTCAGCGCCCCCTGCAGATGCATTGCAAGGAGGGTGCGAAAGATAGTTGTCTTATCTTCTTCACTTCAACACAAATATAGTGCGCTGAAAACAGACACAAGATGATTTCTATATATGGCACCTTTTTGGTCGCTTATGTAAACAAGCCTATGAAAGAATATTCCGGACAATTTTCAAAAGGAATTGCAAATTGTATTTTCAATTGTTTTCCATATGTGGACGCATAAACTGTGACATAATCCAAATGCAAATTTAAAATGAAAAGTAAATTTGCAACTGTATTTACCATGTCTTACGGATTATGAGCATGTCATATTTAAATAGCAATATTAATTACCACTAGGGCTGCACGATATTGGAAAAAAAAACGAAATTGCAATATTTTTTTTTCTGCGATATATATTGCGATGTGTAGAAATACAGGAATGTTCATAAGGTGTCTTCAATTGCTCAAAAATTAAATAATAATTCTAGAATAATTGAGGTGATTTTGTAGGCATCTTCGTAGAAAATAAAATATAATAAAAAAGTATAATAAAAACCCTGAAAAATTACTTTTTACTTTTTGCCTTATTTTGGGTTGTTTTTTTAATACACTATTTGTGTCTTACTTTTCTCTTACTTTCGCTAACTGTCACACCAGGGGGATGACGTAGGACGTAGGCGTAGCGCATGCCCTGGTGATTAGTGACGAGCGCGGAGGAGAGAGAGCAAAACAAAATGCTGATCATGAATTAGACGTACAAAACGAAGATTTGTAAAGAAAAAAGTTGGAGGGTTTCGATATAAGCCATGAGGAGATTGGTTTTCCTTTGCTGAAGTAAGGAAACCTTGCTTCCTTTTTCTGGTGTTTATGGCATTGATTTTACCATATTAATTCGAGCACGAGTCCGATTATGAAGCATTGGAAGAACTAGTTGATCAACCTGTACATCCATCGCAAGCAAGACTTCTGAGTCTTTGTGAACAGTGTTGTAAATACGACTTAACCACTGATTTCTAGTCGTGTCCTCTTTTGGAAGACCAAACAAAGTAGTTTCTCTTTCACTATGAAACAGCATCACACACTGCGGCCTTGAGTGAGCGGCGGCCGGCTAGAGTGAGCGACGGCGGGTGGGCTTGCGGCAACCACATGTGACGACCCCGGGCTGGACTCCGCTTCGTCCACGGTGAAAGCCGATC